AGTAGAGACGGGGTTTCACCATGTTGACCAGGATGGTCTCGATCTCTTGACCTCGTGATCCACCCGCCTCGGCCTCCCAAAGTGCTGGGATTACAGGCTTGAGCCACCGCGCCCGGCCAACCTACAAAGTTCTTAATTAAAACTGCCTGAAACACAAATACCAAATAAATATTCACTAAATGTTAACATCTATCACAATATGCTGCAATTTCCCCACTAAGAATTAACTAACTGGCTTTTTGTCCACCATTTTTGAGTGCTTCTGTTTATGCTGATAGACAAAGACCTCAAGAAATATTTGCTGAATTTAAACCAAAATATTTACTGACAAAATAGAATTATAATTATTATGGCAAAATATAAATAGTGTGAGATATGACTAATTAAAAAGAACTAAAAATGTCATAATGTGGGAAAGCTATTCAACAGTCCTCTGGAACGGTTTTCAGATGCCACACCGCACTGAAAATGAAGATTATAGACCCTTTTCCCAGAACAATTCCTTTTTTTTTTTTTTTAAATAGAGACAGAGTTTCACTATGTTGACCAGGCTGGTCTCAAACTCCTGGGCTCCAGGGATCCTCCCTGCTGGACCTCCCAAAGTGCTGGGATTACAGGAGTGAGACACTGAGCCCAGTATCCCAGAACAACTCTATCACAAAGGTCCACACAAAATTTTACATGTTTAAAACTAATGGGACTGGCCAGGCACAGTGGCTCATGCCTGTAATCCCAGCACTGAGAAGCCAAAGGCAGGCAGATCTCTCGAGGTCAGAGACCAACATGGTAAAACCTTATCTCTACTAAAAATACAAAAATTAGCTGGGCGCGGTGACGGACACCTACAATCCCAGCTACTTGGGAGGCTGAGGTGGGAGAATCATTTGAACCCAGGAAGCAGAGATTGCTGCTTAAAGTATGATTGAATCAGACTTACTGGACACACAGCAGGCTCCCAATTTTCTGCTAGTCAGTGCAAGTGTTACATTTTTTTAGATACAATAAAATAAGTGACATAGCCGGGCACGGTGGCTCACGCCTGTAATCCCAGCACTTTGGGAGGCCGAGGAGGGTGGATCACGAGGTCAAGAAATCGAGACCATCCTGATCAACATGGTGAAACCCCGTCTCTACTAAAAATACAAAAAATCAGCTGGGCATGGTGGCACATGCCCATAATCCCAGCTACTCAGGAGGCTGAGGCAGGAGAATTGCCTGAACCCAGGAGGCGGAGGTTGCAGTGAGCCGAGATCATGCCATTGCACTCCAGCCTGGGCAACGAGAGCGAAACTCCGTCTCAAAAAATAAATAAATAAAATAAAATAAGTGACATAGTCTCCAGCATCAATGAGCTCAGGCCAAGTAAGGTCATTTACACACTAAGAATAGCAAAGAAGCTTTTATTTAGGTTTTAAACTATGAAGTTCTAAGCATAAGTTCAACTGCATTTTGTAGTATATAATCTATATAAGAATTTAGAATAATTTTGTGAGAAAAATGGTTACCTTGAGATTTGAAATACAGCCTTTTATTTCCATTTAACACTTCATTCTGAAAATTTAACAAATTTATTTTCATCATTAAAAAAATTTCTTTGATCTGCTTCCTAGAATACGTTTGATAAGAATGGCCAAATTAGTAGGTAAGTTAAAATGAATTCTTCCTCTTATATGGTTGCACACAAATGCCCCACACACATACCAAAACAGTGAGGCAAAATACTCATCAGACTGCAACCTGCTACAGCACAGCAGGAATTTTAATTAAAGTTTAATACAAAACTTGGATCTTAGGAGGACATACTTCCAAATAAACCAAAAGTTGGTTTCTAACACAAAGAATGAGAAAACCCGACAATGGTATACACATTTGAAAGGCCAACTTTAAATGTCTCTTAAAAACACTCAAACCAAGACTATGCAGTTTCAATTTTACAAATACAGTATATGAACTTCCACACTTACAATCCAAAAAATTTTGGTACTTGACTATTACAATAATCATGATAAATACTCCAGGAATGTCACTTTTAAAAGTGAGTCTAAATGTTAGGTAAATTTCCAGCCTCTTCAGTACCAGAACACTAACAGGACAGTAAGAAGGATAAGACAGCTTTAATATTTCCGGTAAAAGTACACATCTCAAAGATCAGCTTGAGAAGGCTTGCTTCATTATGAAGACTCTTTGCCAGGAGTGGAGGAAAAAACATCTTGGCTACTGCCAGTACCCAGTATATCATCACTGGTCAAACTAATGAGAGATGAATAAATTTTATTTCCTTCCAGTGCTGGAATCTATATTTTAATATTCCATATGCTTCTCCTATTACATTTAACACTTCCAACACTGACCCCTATACTACTCTCGTTTGTTTTGCTAATGGATTCACATATTAACTTTCGCTGTTATTATGTTGTCATATTCCTATCACATCATAAGCCATCCCAATACATTCATGACGTTAATCAAGAACTGGAAGGAGGGAAAGGCAGGAGCATTTATGTCATTTATGTCTCCAGGGGTTGTGAGAAGTTTAAAAAAAGGCCGGGCGCAGTGGCTCAAGCCTGTAATCCCAGCACTTTGGGAGGCCGAGGCAGGTGGATCACGAGGTCAAGAGATCGAGACCATCCTGGTCAACATGGTGAAACCCTGTCTCTAC